TTTCCCTGTTTTGGAGGCCCACATAATAACAGTAAGGAATTTTTATTAAATACAAACCAGCATCTGCAACTTCATTTAATACAAATTTCTTTTCGGCTTTAAGGTAACTGCAAGCATCTAGATTTCTGTAGTGATTCTACAATTCCGATTACATTAAATAGCTATCCAAAACCAACACCGTGGTTATATTAACGCTGCTAAAAGCTCACTGCGAACTACAGAAACAATGGATTTTAACAAAGGCTAATCCCCCATTTCACCTACTGAGCTTACAGAAAATTATTAAAAGGATGAAAAAACCCACTTCAAAATACCAGTTATTTCTGGAAACAAGAAGCAGATGTTCCCCTCTGTTTGGCTCAGCTGTGTTACAGTACAAGAGTGCCTTTGTTATGCTGTCAGCAATAATTTATTTTATTTATTACAGCCATTTTATAATGCCCATCAATGTTCTATTTGTGCATGATTTAGATTCATGCAGATCTATTTCTCTATATAGAAGCCGTCAAGAAGCATGGCATACACACTCCAAATAGCAGACCCTGTTGTGACACAGTTGTGCAAATGAGGTTTTTTCTCTTTCCACTGCATTAATAAAAAGGGAACAGGAAGAGAAGGAGGAGTTAGTATTGCCAAATAAAGTTGAATTAACATTAATTGAGAATTACTGAAACAAGACAAAGTTAGGAAAATACAAGAGTTTAGAGTATAAAAATAAACCCTAACTCTTTGAAGTCCAATAAAGGCAAAGCTTTCTGATCCACGGAAAGGAAATAATGTCTAGAACAAAGTCATGAAGAACTAAAAGGAGACTACGTTGGGGAAAGTATCCATTAAAAATGGAAGAGAGCATGCTTACAGGCAGGGGAAAAAAAAAAAGGGGGGGGAGGGGGGGAGGAGGGGTGAAAGAAGGAAAGAGACAGAAAAATGAGCATAATCATTCGTTATTTTGCCCTTTCAGCCCTACCTTATCTGTGGTAGGCATTAAACCACTCCCCAAAAAGCTAACATCACAGCCTTTGTATGGATCTGATAGGAATTCTGGGCCTCAAAAAATTAAACCTTTAATGAGAGAGCATACACGGTGGCATGAACATTAGTCCTTCCCTCCTACTGCTTTGAACAAACAATTTCCTTCTATTAAAATATTACCAAATTACTAATTTGATATCCCCACCTGTGCTACAAGAAACAGGCAGGATGATGTGCAAGACAAAACTAAAACACTGCACAGAAGTACTTAAATCCTAAATTCCCAACCTGCAAGAACTGGAGAATCTGCATGTATAAATACTCGCACATTTAACACCACACAGACATCAGCATAACCCTGGAAGATAAATGCAGATATTAAAGCATTAAACAACAAGTGTATGAAATCCTACAGTTTAAATAGAGGTATGGTTTGGTTTTTTTTAAAGTGTCTAATTTCTGCAGAGGTTTCCTCCATCCGACAAGACAGCGCGCACAGAAGAGATGATTTGTTGGGATAATCTGTAATCGAAACTAACACCTGACAGAACCCTCACAAATTCTGCACTTTCAGGCTGAACCCGAGAGACAGACGGACTTAGGCACAGCGTCAGCACGTGCTCACAGTCAATCTGTGTCTTTTAAGTCTTACAGAAGGGGGACTCGCATCCTAGAACGGCAAACTGCCCCATAGACAGGTATCAGTCCACGAGCAAACATTTTGAAAGACTTTCCACAAGAAAGGCCAGCTTGCATCATGTATCCGTACAATTTTATGATGCGCCAAGGCAGAGGGGGGAAAAAATTAAAAAAAAAAAAAATTCAAAAGATTTCCCAGGCTTGGGTAGTACCAAAAAAAGTTTCTAAATGGAGTAACAGAACAGCAATTACATAAAAATGTATACATCGTTAAATGTTAGCTACAATCTCTAGGACTTCAAAATAATTCCCCCGCCAAATAAATTAAAGATTATAACACATGAAATATCTGAGCAACAACCACCAAAAAAAATCAAGTGTGTACATGTCTAATATGCATAACTTATACACTTTAACAATTAGCAAACATTGGAATGTTACCACAACACTGAAAACTTGCCCTAACAGAGATGTTTCCAAACAAAAATATTTGTAGCATCAAGAATTAAAAATCTTACTTGAGCAAGCCATCAAGATAATTCCCCAAAATAAGTAAATGATAAAAATATTTTAATATCTCCCTGCTTAGTTCCTTAGATCTTCTAAATTAAAACATTTTGCCACGAAAAAGTCCCAAAAAACCAAAATCATATGGATAATCACACCACTCATAAGCAAAATTTGACATATGGATTATTAATCTGTATTTTTCCAGAGACTGCTGTACAAGTGATAGTTATGAAGCACCACACCGCGCTACTAATCAGCGCAGCCTCAACCCTGTAATTTGTAGATACCCAGGTAAACTGCTCATACAAGCTGCAGCA